TGCATCATGCAAGCTCTTCGAAAGAAAAACGTTCCAGAATACCTGTGTAGCATAGTGACCAGCTATTTTACCGATAGAGTTCTTAAATATGATACGAAAAATGGTCCAAAAGAGTACGATATTACCGGAGGTGTACCCCAGGGCTCTGTACTTGGTCCACTGCTGTGGAATATCATGTACGATGGCCTATTGAGATTGAAATTGGCAAGAAGTGTAAAACTCGTAGCGTATGCAGACGACGTAGCCGTAGTAATCGTCGCTAAACACCTTGACGAGATTAACAACATGTTCGACATCACCTTCGAGCGAGTCCATCGGTGGATGAATACGGTAAATCTGCATCTGGCTACACACAAAACTGAGGCAGTGCTTATATCTAGCAGAAAAGTGTTATAGACCATCAAGCTGAAAGTCGGCGAACAAGAAATCACATCACAACCTTTTATCCGATATTTTGGAATGATGCTTGATGTCCGTCTCAACTTTAAACAGCAAGTGGAACACGTCAGTGCCAAAGCGTCAGTAGTGAGGGCTAGTCTCACACGACTGATGCCGAACGTTGGAGACCCAAAGTAGAGCAGGAGACTACTACTATCATCAGTTGTCACATCGGTGCTCACATAGAGAATATCCATTTGGGCAGACGCGCTGGAGTTGCAAGAATCATGGAGAAAAGTTGGACCAGTATATAGACTGAGCGCTGTAAGACTAACCAGTGCATTCCGCACGATATCAGAAGTAGCAGTGTCTGTCATTTCCGGAACTTTGCCGCTCAGAGTTCTAGCTGAGGAAAGACGGAACCTTTACCAACGAAAGAGATCAACCACACTAAGTGTCGAGGAACTCAGAGCTGAAGAACGGCAGAATAGCATCTTGACTCGATAAATAAATTAATGAAAGAAAAAATAAATAGTTCAATACAATTTATATATTAATTTTAAATTAAAAAATCGCGACATAACTTCGAAATTAAATTTATGTTGCGGAGCGCGCAAAAGCACGCCCGTATCGGTCGATTCAATACCTAAATTCCATACCCGCCAATTCCATACCTAAACGCTTGAAATTGCACTTATGATGTTTCTGAGCTCTTCGAGCTCAAAAGACTGATAGAAGTTTAGATAGAATCGATTTTCACGTGGTTGGCAGTATTTCTCGCACTTTTTTACGATCTGTGGTATACTTTTGAACACAAACTAATCGAACTGAAAGTCTTAAAGAAATTTGAAAAATTCACTTTTTCCGAATTTTTTCGACAACGATAACTCACGAACTAATCAACCAATTTTTACGTTTTTGGTGGCGATCGACGTGATTTTTTGGGCTCTAATAATTATTATTTATTTATTTCGTCAAAAATGATCCAAAAAGAAATCTCGAAGTTATGTGAAAAATATTTTTTTTTCGAAATTTTTCATTTTCGATAACTCTCGAACGAATCAATCGATTTTGATTGGACTGGTGACAATCAACGAGGTTTTTAAGCCAAACAAGTTATTCCAAAAAAATGATATTTTGAAATTTCTCAAAATCTAGCAAACCGACTCGATTCGAATTTCCACGAAATTTAATGGCAATGATACTTTTCGGATCGCCACCTATTTCGATCCGATCAGCCTAGCCGTTCAATATTTATAAGATGTTTACATCCATACACACATACACACACACACACACACACACACACACACACACACACACACACACACACATACATACAGCCGCACGGACATCATTGCGGGAATAGTCAGGGAAGCATCCTGTGACCTTAAAACGTCGAGATCTGATGAAAACTTGATTTTCGCAGAATCCGGGGTGATAATGTATTGTGTGACTAGGGATGAAACAAAACGATTTCAGACCAGAGTGAAGTTGCCTGCTCGAGCGAAGCGAGGGCTGGCATTACTCGGTCTGAAATCGTGTTTTATCCCACGTCACACATTATATTATTCATATAAGTTGCATTAATAATGTTAGTTTCAATGTCTGGAGCCAACCAGAACTAGATAGTTTCAGACGAACAGCGAAAATACCATTTTGTTATTAAACTTATAATAAAATAGAAAGTAATAGTTTATTTTTTATCAAAAATTATTCGTAAATTGACAAGTTTTCTTTTATCATTCTTATTTATGCTTAAAAACAGAATTATAACATGTCTGTACAGTTAACGGTTAAAATGACAATTATAAAGGTATAAAATAAACAAACACACACACACACACACACACTCACAGTTAAAAATTATCATTATAGTAAAAATACTTGGTGAACACTAACACTTCACCATGAAATTAATTTTCGTGTACGAGATATGGATGAAAATAAACTTATTCACTAATTTTTTCAGATAAAATCTGGAATATATTATATTATATTCATCGACAGCAGACAGGGACTGGCTCGTACATGAGTTATTAATCGATTATTATGACAATCGTTTACAACATTAGACAGAGAAACAGAATGTTAAGTCAAGTTCACAGGTAAATCAATAACTTGTATTCATAATTTAAGTCGCTAGTTGAAATGCTGCACGGAGTAATAACTGCAAGAAAATTGACGATTATTCACAAGTTACAAAAGTTTTTAATTTGACTACTCTATAACAGGTTTTATGGTCTGTTCAACTGGCCTCAAAATTAATTAAAATATAGGCAATCAAAACTGATAAATGAACAAAACAAGTTAATTAATCATGGGCGTGACCAGGGTTATTTTCACGGTTCTTGGAACTGGACCAGAGCAAGAGAACTTATTTCCAAGGATAAAGAGAGTGGAGGAAGGTGCTGTTAAATAAAAAATAATCAATTAAACAACTTGATTAAGATTTATTAACAATAACAAAATAATCACTCACACACTCACAAACTTACACTATCAACAACAACACTACTTGTACTAATTCCCTGACAGAGAGACTGCCATGGATCAAGGTCGTTCTTTTCAACTTAACTAACTTTACTAACCAAATTGTACTACAGTGTAAACTCTATATAACGTTACTCTATATAACGACAAACTCCTTAAAGCGTCGAAATCACTTGTCTTTGGTTGGTTTAGCTTGTCTTTCATACAATGATACACTCTATATTAGACTGATTCAGAATAAAAAAACTTTTTTTTTTTTACTAAATACTAGGGGTGTGCGAATATTCGAAAGTTCGAATCATTCGAAGCGAATCGAATCGAATAATTCGATTCGAGATTCAATCTAAATATTCGAATAGTTCGAATAGTTCGAACAATTCGAATAGTTCGAACAATTCGAGTAGTTCGAACAATTCGAATAATTTGAATAGTTCGAATATTTTGAATAGTTTGACTAATTGAATGCTTTTTAAATTTTTTTTTGGAGATTTTGGGTATAAAAAAAGAAAAATTGACATGACGTTAATTTCGTAAGATGATTGATCTTTGGTTGAGAAATCATTAATTTTATAGAATTAGTAGTTCCAAATAACTTAATTAACTTTTTTAAATAATATCGATCAATCTAATTGAATATCGATCGACACGTGAAGTGATTTCTATCTTAGAGTAATCACTTAGAAATAGTACAATTCTCGACTGCAGTGTAGTTCTTAGACCTTCAATGTTTTTTAACTTGAATGAGTGTAAATTCAAGTTTATATTTATAAGCTACATATATTAGTCTAGAAAATGCTTAAGATCAATGCATTTCCATTAATTCTATATAAAAAAAATGCCGAATGAAATTGGCTTTCTCAAAAACATGTCTTAGTTTGTCATGACAAGTCTAATTAGCAAAAAAAAGATATATGTTTATTTTCGCTGTTTCCAATGTGATTGTGATTACGTTCTGCTGAAAACTTAGTAAATTTTTAAAATGAATAATTAATGTAGATTAATGTAGATTAACTAGATAAAGTAAGTTTTTAATTATTGAATTTTTATATTTTTTAACATCGATCAAACTTTTATATTGATTATTTTACTGTATTTTCGTTAACATTTATTGTTTTCCGAATGGTTGTGATTGTTGTTATGTATTGCTTTAATTAATATACGTAAAAATATACCTGGTGATTCAGAGCGTGCAAAAATTATAATTATTCTTTAAAATCTTTTGTTTTATGAAAAATTCAAAATGAAACATCAAATTATTTTTAAAAAGGTAAGAACGGAAAACATTTTACATATCTTATTTCAAATAAGCAAGTTAAGTATTTCAAATCTTTTGACATTTTTAAGTGGCAATTAATGCAATGTATAAATATAAATTTAAATGTAAATAATTGGATATGAATTTGTTTTACACATTAATAAAGTCTATTATCAATTCACAGGTTTAGATGTACATCTGAAACAAATAAGAAAAATGAAGTTATTATTTAAATACTTTTTATCAAGAGCACTTACACATAATAATTCATGAATAATTATTGTTGATGATGTAAAACTATATAAAAATATGAAATGGAGTATTAATTTCAATTTTTTCGATAAAATTTTTTTAGATGCTATAAATCATATTGAAAGACAGATTTGACAGCATTATTAATCACTTTCTTTTCTTTTTATGGCAATTTTAATTTTATTTTTTCAATCATTATACACAATGAGGTTATTGACATAAATTTAGTCTACTCGACGCAGATGTTTACACCTCATTAACTGGATGTTATATGAATTCACGTTGTGACTAATTATTAAATAGAATCCTGCTTCTAATTTGTTTTTAATATTTAATAATCATGATTGTTATCACTATTTAGTTGTGTGCATTTTATTGTTATCCTTTGGACCTGTCAATCACTCAAGTTATTTAGAATGCTGAAATTGCACTAAGAATCAAGTTCTTTACCGACGGTAGATATCGGAATTCAATGTTCACATAAAGCTTTCATTTTTTAACACTGAAATTAAGACACCAGCGCCAATAGTTTTAAAATCACATTCGTCTAACGAACATCTGTCATTCTCGTTGAACATTTAAAAACTCAAACATTGGAAATTTTTTTTTTACCAAAAAAAAAATGTCTTCTCAAAATTCTGAAGTGGAAAATATGATTGTCGAAGTAGAACCAGGAGTTAATCTCGAAGATGACAATGAGGTTGTGTCTTCAACACATCGAAGTCCTGTTTGGAATTTTTTTAAACTCTGTACTGAAGAATACCGAAAAGCAATATGTAATACTTGCTCGAAAGTATTAAAATTACCAACATGTATGATGCTATTTATTTGTTAATGCCAATTATTTTCTGAGTTGTATTTATTGATTAATCATTACATTGTTTATAGCTACCACGTCACCTATGTTAAAGCATTTAAAATCGAAACACTCTACCTTATATCAGCTATGTGAGGAAATAGGAAAAAAACGTAAGGTTGTAGAAGAAAATAAAAGTACTGAAATATCGTCAAAACGTCAAAAACTCGGGCCACCTACTAAAGCAGAGCTAGATCAACTTTGTATGGAGATGATAGCAATCGATATGAAACCTTTCTCTTGTGTTGAAGATAAAGGTTTTCAACGATTATTAAAAAGATTCGATGATACTTATGATCCGCCATCACGTACTACTTGCTCGCGTAGTCTCTGTCCCAACTTATATGAACAAATAAAACAAAAATTGATGGACGAACTGCAAAACGATATAGCATCAGGCTTAATGAGTTTATCTTTCACTACGGATGGCTGGAAGTCAAGATCTGGGCATCATTACTTATCATTAACTGTTCATTACATGACAGTTGATTTTGAATTAAAAAATATTATGATTGGTCTAACACAACTTGAAGATCGTCACACCGGAAGTAATATTAAAGCAAAACTTGAAGAAATGTTGTTGGAATGGAATTTATTAGATGTTCCCAATGTTCCAATTTACTTTACTACTGACAATGGTGCTAATATCTGTAATGCTATCCGTAAAGGTGGTTGGAATCACATCTATTGTTTTGCACACATGCTTCAACTGGTTATAAAAGATTGCCAAAAACACACTAAAGGAATTGATAAATTATTAAAAAAGGTAAAGATAATTCTCGTATTAATGTTTTTATAAGGTTTTATAATTGTTTTTAATTGTAGATTAATTTTTATTAATAATAATTAATTTTAAAATTGTACATAAATTTTTTAATCAGAAGCGTTTTAAACTAAAAAATAATTATAAAATTCAATTTTTTTTTCGATCGAATCGAAATCATTCATAAATTCTTGAAATATATTTTTTAACACAATTCAATTTTTTAATTTTAGGCACGACGTATATCAACGCACTTTCACCATTCTGACCCGGCTCGATGAGACTTTGAGAATGCTCAAAAGTCTTTGAGTAATCGAACTCCTTTGAAATTGATTCAATCGGTACCAACTCGCTGGAACTCGGAGTACGATATACTCGAGCGCATGAAACGATTGCAGCAACCATTATCCGATGTGCTTTCGCGAAATACAAGTGTAACTGGATTGTCTGGCACTGACTGGAAGAGAATCAGTGACATTATTAAAGTCTTAGGTCCATTGAATGAGGCGACTGAAATTCCGTGTGGATCAAAATACCCGACGATATCTATGATTGAGCCAATACTTCAAGGGGTGAAGGAAGCTTTACAAAATCTTGATTTCGATGATGAGACGAACATTATTCTGAATAATTCTGATAGCGAAGGTAGTGATTACGATGATTACAATAATGATGGTAACAATAATCGTACCAATATAGATAACACAGATGATGATGACGGCTCAGAAACTTCCACGTTTGAGAACCACTCTCAGAGGTCTATGGGATATAACTTTTCAAAAAATGTAATCCGTAGTTTAAAAATTAGATTTTCTGAGATTGAAGAAGATAAGTTATATCGTAAATGTACATTTCTCGATCCTCGTTATCGGGATTACTTTTTAACAGATGAGAAAGTGAAGGATGAAATAAAGAAAGAAATAAAGAATGAGATTATCGCCTATAAATATTCGAATAATGTTTTTGAAAAGGAACCTGAACCTGCTGAGCCTCCTGTAACCAAACCCACCAAGTTTTGGGACTTCATGAGACAGCGACGGATTAATAAGGAAGAAACAGTAACTTTGCGCCTTGAGAAAGAGATTGATCAAGAAATTATTCAATATTTGTATTCGGCAGATATTGATCCTTGGGATGATCCTATTCAGTGGTGGAAAAAAGAATCAATTAAATATCCTTTGTTATCAATGATGGCTAGACGTTATTTGCCAATTCCATCTACGTCTGTTGAGAGTGAGCGGCTTTTTTCTACTGCCGGGGACATAGTGACTGAAAAACGAAATTCATTATCACCTGATAATGTTGCTCGGTTGTTATTTTTGAATAAAAATTTAACTCGTTACGTTTAATTGAATATTATAATGTAGAAATTTTAAATATCGTAGCGTTGTTCTATTCAAAAACTTGAACAAACGAACTTCTTAGAAATAAGTTTTTAATTAGAAACGCTTATTAGTTTATGATTGTTATTGTTCAAAATATTATTAATAAATGTTAAAATCAATTTTAATTGAATAAATAGTTTAATTTCATTCTATTTTGTACGATTACTACAATAGAATAATCTATTTAAGATTTCAATTCTTTAAATAGTTCGAATTGCTCAAATTATCCGAACTATTCGAATTGTTCGAACTATTCGAATTATTCGAAATATTCGAACTATTCGAAATATTCGAACTATTCGAAATATTCGAACAATTCGAATTATTCGAATTATTCGATATTCGACTCGAATATAGAATCGAATCCAAGGATTCGATTCGATTCAAATCGAACGGGATTCGCACACCCCTACTAAATACATCTAAAAAGTTTCTTTGTTAGACCAAAAAAAAATCTTCTAAAAGATGAGCTTGATATCTTGAAAAATGAGCTGGCGCATGTGGGGGCCCCCCCTTCCGGTGCCATAACAAAATAACGGCGTTCAAAATAACCGCGACAAAATAACCAGACGACAAAATAACCGTGACGAAATAACCGCAGATAAAATAACCATGTAACATTACAACCACGTTACAAAATAATCTAACATCATCACCCGCAAATTTTTAAAAGATACATAAATTAGAAATTGTAGTGTACCTTTTTTTTCATGGATTTTATTTATGTTTATTTGTAAAAAGGCAGATACATAATATTTTTGCTGAGTTGTGCTCGTTTAACATGGTGTTTATGTGTATTTAATTGACATTAGATCTACACAAACGCGGGTAATCGTGTTGTGCCCTTATAACATGGTTTTTGTGTGTATTTATTCGATATTAGATCAACACAAACGCGGATAATCGTGTTGTGCCCTTTTAACATGGTTTTTCTGTGTATTTATTTGACATTAGATCAATACAAATGTGGGTAATCGTGTTGTGCCTTTTTAACATGGTTTATGTGTGCATTTATTCGACATTAGATCAAGACATGAGATTGTTGCCATGTTGTGCCTTTTCTATCATGGATTTTTTGTGTGTTTATTAAAGAATATTTTTTTTCTAAAATATTTTGTCGTTCGGTTATTTTGTAACGTGGTTGTAATGTCACATGGTTATCTTGTCCGCAATTATTTTGTCGTCCGGTTATTTTGTCCGCGGTTATTTTGTCGTCCGGTTATTTTGTCCGCGTTTTTTTTGTCGTCCGGTTATTTTGTCGTCTGGTTATTTTGTCACGGTTATTTTGTCGCGGTTATTTTGTCCGCGGATATTTTGTCGCGGCACCCCCCTTTCCTATTTAAAATACATTGAAAAAAAACTTGTTTCTGTATTTTCATTGAAAATCGTCGAAAAAATTTTTTTTTAAATTGCCGTCTTTTGATATCTGGTAGGAAATTAAATTCTCTACAAAAAATGTCTCTTTCATTTTCTCGCTCAAATGCATGTGAAAAAAGTTACAGAGCTTTAAAAACGAAAATTATAAAAAGTAAAAAATAACTTCTTTTTTTTTATTTTCGACAACAAATTATTTTATTTCGTAAAATTCTTTACTTTATTTATCTATATTCAGTCTGACAATTATATCTAAATTTGATCTATGTATAGAAGAAAAAAAATATATTTAATTGTATTATATTTTTATATTATATATGGTGCATTCCATGCCAAATCGACCACTTTTGAACTCGATCCTTTTCGATTCTTTTGAAATTTTGGTATCTTTCTCTACCCTATTGAAAACAATAGAATTTTTTATTGTTTATAGAACTTTTAGATACGAAAATAATAAAATACAAAAAAATAATTCAATGTTTCTTTTAATTTTTTATCTAACTTTATTGGAAGTTAATCAAATGTTATCGATGATTGTCACTTTTAATTTTTGTTTTTATTTTTTTTTCTCAGATTTTAAAGTTTTCAAAATCTGCTAAAAAATTTTCAGAGTGGTATACCAAAAAACAAACATTTAAAAACAAATTTTTTTTCATTTCTAAAAAAAAATACGACTGAAAATTTGAGGAAATACGCAGAAAATACTAGTTCTTTAAAAAAAAAATCTGGAAAACGGTTGACCCTAAAGGCCATCCGTGCAACTTCCCGCCAATTCCACACCTAAACGCTTGAAATTGCACTTATGACGTTTCTGAGCTCTTCGAGCTCAAAAATACAATTTGTGTGTTATTTTGAGCTCTCCGAGCCTTCGAGCTCAAAAGCCTGATAGAAGTTTAATACAACAGTATTTTTTGAATTTTCAAACTACAATCATTTCTAAATGAATGAATCGATTTTCACGCGGTTGTCAATAATCCACGCACTTTTTCAGAATCTATGATAGACTATTGAACACAAACTGATTGAACCGAAAATCTTAGAGAAATTTGAAAAATTCACTTTTTTCGAATTTTTTCAAATTCTTTCGATAACTCCAAACCAATCAACCAATTTTCTCGTTTTTGGTGACGATCGACGTGATTTTTTGGGCTCTAATAATTATTTTATTTCGTCAAATACGATCCGAATAGAAATGTCGAAGTTATGTGAAAAAAAACACTTTTTTCGAAATTTTTCATTTTTGATAACTCTCGAATGAATTAAGCGATTTTGATGGGACTGGTGGCAATCGACGTGGTTTTTCAAGGTTAAAAGCTGATTAGTTTTTGAAAGTGATTAGTGAAGCCATTTAAGAGATTTTTTGAAAAAATATTTTTTTTGAAATTTTTCGTTTTCGATATCCCACGAACGGATCAACTGATTTTGACCGGTCAAGCGGCGATCGACGTGGTTTTTCAAGGTTAAGGGCTGATTAGTTTTTGAAATCGATCGGTAAAGCTGTTTAAAAGTTATTCCAAAAAAATCATTTTTTGAAAATTTTGTTTTTGAGATTTTTAAAAATCTAGCGAACCGAATTGATTCAAATTTTCACGAAATTTAATGGCAAAGATACTCTCTGGATCGCCACCAATTTCGATCCGATCGGCCAAGCCGTTCAAAAGTTATAAGAGGTTTCCATACATACACACACATACACATACATACATACAGCCGCACGGACACCATCGCGGGAATAGTCAGGGAAGCTTCCTAGGACCTCAAAACGTCGAGATCTGATGAAAACTCGATTTTTGAAAAACAGGGTAAAAACAATAACTTCCCGATTTTTGAAAATTTTCAATTTTCTCAGCGGGAAGTTAAAAAAATCAAAAATGTCAATCATCCCGAAATTTTCGTTTTTTTCGAAAATTTTCAAGAAAAAACGCTGAATATGAATGCGAATTATTTTAATTTTTTTTCTAAAAAGAACATTTAAAAACAAAAATTTCAATAAAAAAATCATCCCAATAAGTTAATTTTCAAAAAAGTTATGGTTATTTAACAAAAAAAAGCTATCTTTGTTACATGTGAGCTTACACTTGGATCTGTCACATCCACGTATCAGACATCCGTCTAGCTCAGGATCTCGTAGAAATTTTACTTAATTATAACTGAAGGGAATGGGTCGCTCAGTAAATGAAGAATACTGCGAGTTAGGTACTAATTGTTTATTAGGCGTCCCCAAAGCATGGGAGTTACCTTCAATGGCCCTGAGAGTCTCTTTTACACACTAAATGTTTATTAACTAATTTGATTCTAACTGGACACAATAATTTCACTGATAAGTTATCAGTGATAACAATCACTATAGACTCTTTTAATGAGAAGGAGATGCGACAACGTGAGAAAAGGTCTTACTTGACAACTAATACTCGGCACTGATGACTCGGACTCGATATAGATTCTGACAGACTAGCAAACTGCCTGACTGACTGACTGTTAAAATAAGAAGCCCTCATCGTCGGGATGATCAAGCTCATATA